GTTCAATAATCACGATGGCATTGTTGTGACAGTCACACGATTGAGACGTGATTTAAAAATGCTGATTCAGAGAAATACATTGATTGTTATTAAACAAAAGTGGTCAGCAAACATGTCTGACAGTAACAGTAATTTTTTCGTATTTTAGTTGTATTTTGTTTGGCCTTGTGTTAAATATGAATCGATAAGTACATGATTACCATACCCGCATAATTTCACACATAAGGAAAAAAACGAAACCCCTATAGTATCACTTTGTTGTCAGTCTGTCTGTAAAGACCCTATATCTTGGGAATACGTGCAGGTATCGCTTTGAAAGGAGAATGGGCAAAACGCACCCAGCTCCGCAATAGATCTATGAAAAACTAGCCTTTTTTATTACGACACCGAAAATAAATATCCTGGGAGTCAAAAGATATGACACCGTAAAAAATATCCTGGTAGTCAATAGATATGACACATGGGCATATTTAAGTAGCTGAATAAATTCATTTTATAGTACCTTCATTTTATATTATTAGTAATCATAATAATATGCCATATCGTACTATACAACCAGATATACAACAAAGCCTGTCGATCATCCTGCGCTTGCTCTTACTCAGACATTTCAAAACGGTTTACGGATGATGAAGGACTTGCAGTTGCAAATAGTCAACTCGTCTTACTTCGTTGTGATTGTGCGCTCCCTGCTACTTGATTGATTTTTATCTAACACGCTTTGGATATTGGAACACGATTATCGGTTTTGTCAATTAGTATGGATGAACTAGAATCATGTGTTCTCCGAAGCGTGGACAAGTTTGTGTAATTTGTGGTCGTTCCGTTTTACATAGAAGACAATTTACTATAACGAACAGAATGATTAAAAAAACCCAACCCAAGCGGGGATTTTTGGATTTACTCTAGCGCGGCAGAATAACATAAGGGGCCACCCTTGCACCCTGAGAAGTACTCCCATAATTCCTGAGCACCTTATGTGAGCAACCCTTGGAGGGCGAGTCCGACTCGCTCTTTTCTGGTTTTTTTATTATACATCATAATTAGCCTATTAATGTCCCTTGAGCTGGGGCTTAGGCATTCCCCTATGGATAAAATAGAAACATTGGGGTCACAACCACGTCACGACCAACCACGCGGTTCCAATAAAGATTGGTAAGTTTGCATGCCTGCAGACGCACGGAAGAGCTCGTGATAATAAGCTATTGGTCACCCATCCAATGAACGACCATTGCGAAAGTTGCTTAACTACCACGATCGCAGACCGAATGCTCTAACCACCTTTTTATAACGCAGGCAAAAAATCTTTTTACGGACGACGGCGCCTTTAAGAGGCACACCGCCGAACGGACCTCACACCTGGCTCCCGCAAGTCTTATGGACCCCCAGTGGCTCAACTCTTACGAGAGCGTTCCGGCATAATATCCGCTAAAAAGTCCTGCGAATACCTTCAACACTGCTTGATGCGGAGCCGCGGGATCCCCTGGTGAGGGATTTCTCCGCATCCCCGCACCCAGCAGTTTCCCGGCCTTGCCAGGGCTCCACGGCAGGGGTCTCCCGAGGTATTGCGGGGGGGGGGGTGCGCAGGTAGGCCCGCGCTTGGGGGCTGAGTACGCGGCCTAGTGACCACCGTACTCCCCCCCGTCCTCTGCGGAGGGCTTCTCGGGCGTACCCATGTAGCTCGTCGCTCTCGGGGGGCCGTCGTCCAGGGATGCTCTAACCACCAGCGCCATCGAGATGCACGTCAGCGAGCTAAAATCAGGTGGATAGTTCCTTCCTCCAATTGGCGTGAAGACGTTCTGAACAATATAGTTTTTTGTTCTCGGGCGTGTATTATAAACTTTTCTGATCGATCACTATCTATTGCTAAAAACTGTATATATAAATATGTATCTTTGAGACAGTGAAAACCGCATCAAAATTTGTTGTTTAGTTAACAACAGACAGACGTGGTAAGCGATTTTATGTCGGTATACTTAGATTAAAACAAATAGGGAAGATACGGCATTCGCGGTTCAAAAGTGATCCTCTTAAATTGTGGTCCACGACCATAATTCGCTTTAGTCACAATTTGACATTCAAACACGCTACATGTACACTCATAACAATATTGCGTATATTCTGTGTTATGAAGTAATAAAAATGCCTTCGATGCTTTTGTAAAGAACACAAATAGTTCAAAATCAAATGCCCCAGCAACACTTTCATTCGTAAAACTGTGAAAACATTCTTTTCTCAATAATCACGGTTTGTCGTGAATGTTATTTAAGTAATCGCCATTTTGTAAGCAAGAAAAGGACAATAATACGCTGCGTTGAAGCGTATAGTTCTGTCTCGCTCGCTCGATTGATGTTTATATACAGACGTGTGCGTGGCGAGAGTTGCTTATGTAGTTGAGTCGGATCATATTTTATTTGATACTAGTATGAGCGTACCGTATCTACCCTTTTTGTTTTAATCTAAGTCGGTATACTTGGGAGTAATCCTACAAACAAACGTAACTCAATGTTTTGCTTCGGTTGACTAAGCATGGCTAATAACATTTTTTGTTTGCTTTGATTACCCATTGGAGTGTGTACAGCTCTGTAATGTAATCTGTATTTACGCATTACTTTTTCACCGCAAGGTTAAACTGAAAAAAACTGCATTCAATGGACCTTAGTGTCTCCGCACACGGGCCACACGCCACAGCCACAAACGCCGCCACGAGAAGCTAGAAGCGGCTACTAAAGTGGCTGAAGTGCGCGACAGCGGCCGACTAAGGTAAGGGAGAGAGGGGTGGGGCATCGCGCGAGTGACGTGTGACGGCGTTTTGTATCGGCGCATTAAGTGGCCGGTGCGGGCCACAAGAAGCGAGCAACGACGATTTGTAGCGTGTGTGGCGAGTCCATATTATAAAACGTATGAAAACTACAAGAAATATGCCAGTGGCGGCGTTTTGTGGTTGTGGTCGGTGGCCCGTGTGCGGCGACACTTACTTAAGAGCAGCTCTCAAATGTTGAGTCAAGATTAAGTATTTCAGAAATTGGTAGTTTTGGTAGTTATTTTATTTACAAGCAGCCTTGTTGTTAACTGGTATGGTCATACAAATTTTGACATAACTAGGTACTAGATGTTTTTAAGAGAAAATTGTGTTTTTTTTTATATACAACTTTTTGCGCTTTACATCTCGAATAAGTTGAGTTTCTTTTAAGCTGTCTACGATCTTCAAATATTTGAACAGACGACGAAAAAAACGTTCGTTTTCGATGCAAGAATTTTTACCAAGACTATGAAACTCGTACCGCCTTATTAATAAATAAAGAAGCAGATTATACTAGTTGTGCTGCGTTTTGTTCATATCACTCAAATGCCATTTGTCATTCAGTAGACAGAGACAAAACATGGAGTAACTAATCCAAGCGTAATCTTCGTTTATTAATAAGGGGGTTAGGGCTAAAATAGATAGATAAATCATTTATTCCCATCAGTAAAGCACACAAATTCAAGTAAACAAATAGAAGAAAATATCGCATCGAGAGGAGCTCGATGGCGCAAGTGGTCAGCGCGTTCGGCTGCGATCGTTGAAGTTAAGCAACTTTCGCATTGGTCGGTCATTGGATGGGTGACCAAAAATTTACTATCTTGAGCTCCTCCGTGCTTCGGAAGGCACGCTAAGCCGTTGGTCCCGGCTGCATCTGCAGTCGTTAGCACCCACCAATGCGCTAGGCACGCGTGGTGGGTCATGGCCCAATCTCCCTATTCCATCCTTAGGGAAGGCCTGTCCCCTAGCAGTGGGGACATTGATAGGTTGATGATGATGATGATGATCGCATCGAATTAATACAAGACTAAGAAATTTTCCAGGAGTCTTAATTTGTAAAGTTAGCTGATGCAAGAAAATGTGCATTTTCTGTATACTGGGCTATACATACCTCGCACATTCACATAAATATACACACACACGCACCCACACACACACCCACACACACACACAAGCAAAAACACACACACGCACACACAAATAAAACACAAACACGCATTTAATTTCTTTTTTAATATTAAATTAGGATTAATATTAAAATTATTGTAGCAAAAATTGTTTTCTGGAGATGGGCGTTAATAACTGCGACACAGTTTTTAACTAATGCAGTTATTATCGATCACTATTGTTATTGTATCTTTGTTATGGTTTTAATAAATAATTTAAAAAAAATAAACTGCAAATATTTCTGTGGACACTACAGAAAAGCAGTGTTAAATCTTTGCAATTTCTTTTTTTTTTAAATTGGAGCATTTTTTAGGATTGACCTAAATATTTAATTTTATCTAAAATTTTATTTCCTTTAATTTTGAATGGAAGGGATGGTCAAACGCATTACTTGAGAATATTGTGTTCTTTTTAATTTTAAAGAAATTTAACTGCTGAATTAAAATTTTATCAAGTTGATAAAATTATATTTTTAATAAATATTTTCAATTTCTTAAATAGCAATCTTTCGTCGTCTTAGGGAAGTAAGTCCAACGAGAAGGATCTAATAGACTTAAAACTTCTCATCTTCAAGATAAGAATTTTAGAGTGAAGTTCAAGTTTTAAAATTGGTCACATAAAAAACCCTTTGTATAATTACGGTACACGCAGTCTAAAATGTTTTTAAACTAATTAAAATGAATGAAACAAGTTTAATTAAACAAATTAAATAAATATTCTTTGTGGTTTCAGTAAGGAACATGAATAGGTTGAGTGAAAACAAAATACTAGGATGAGACGTCATAAGATGAATACGGTATAATCCCATATAAAAAAATTTCAGATTTCTATCTTAAAAATTTGACGAAGCTCACATAATCTTTGATCCGTCAATTTTGCCCCTCAGGGGATGAACTACGGAAGGAATATGGAACATTTTTTTTTATCAACCAAAATATTATTTTCTATACATTGTAACACTGTAAATAATAAATAAAAAAAATCAATGAAACAAACGAAGAAAAATAAAACGAAACGAAAAAATACTTACATGATCACAGTTTTTCTTTAAAACTAAACACTAAATTAATTAAAAACTAAAAAAAACTTTTTTAAATTTAACTATTAATTAAATAAATAATGAACTAGACTGTTGTTGCCATTACGCTGTCTGCGTTATTACTAAACTGATAGACAGATCCAATGACCTTTATGTAGAGATTTGTATCTTGAATTCTTGACGTAATAATCTTATGAGAGGCACGTCGCTCTTAGATTTTTCTGTTGTCCTAATTAATCTATCATTCGCACACGTTATTTTAATCTCCATGTTATATGTTAACTAGCTTTCCGCCCGTGGCTTCGCTCGTGTGTGCTACAAACTTCATCCCCCGTTTGAATCTTTTAGGGGCAGAAGTTAAAAATGTACCCTATTTCAACTTCATAGGGGATGAAATGGTAAAATTAATCAGTGAAATTTCAATGGGTCTAGCTGAGAATACTAATGGGATGTAAAATGATTTTTTTTTGTGGTTTCAATAAGGATCATCAAAAGGTTGAGTAAGAAAGAAAAATAGTAGGGTGAGACGTCATAGGATGAATATTGAACAATCCCATTTTCAAAATTTTCAGATGGTTTGATGATTTTTTTTTGCTATCTTCAAAATTCGACATAATCTTTGCTCCCTCATTTTCGCCCCTCAGGGGATGAACTACGAAAGGGAACTATGGACCACTTTTGTTATTAACCATAAGCCCTAATATTTAAATTTCTATTTACAAACTAGAAAAAGTGTTACTTAAACACAATTTCTCCCCCTTTTATAATCTTAGAGGGAGAATTTTGGAAAGTCCATGACATTTTTTGAAACCATTTATTACCCCTAACGGGTTAATGAAAGGTTACAATAAACTACTTTTATTGTGAACTTTAAGTTCGTTAGCTAATTTTCAGATTTCTATCTTCAAAATGTCCAATGTCTATATAATTCAGTCAATGCACGGAAAAAACGGGAAAACCACGTAATTCTGCCAAACAACACCAATTTAGACCATGGATTTGGGTTCTACTTCTACGTTCTAAGAGTTTTCCCTGAAAATGCATTTTTTAGATAATTCACGTTGAAATTTCAAGTTTGGCGTTGGTCGAAGAAGAACCAATCTTTAACAAGCTACTACTTAGTTACTATTCAAAACAGTGGTATTTTTAACCCAGTAGAGTCTGTGCGGAAAAAGAATGGGCGTGGCGTAAAACGGAACTAACATAAAGATTTTTATGTGGCAATCAAACCCAGCAATCTGTAAAACGTCACAGTTTTGCATTGATACGGATTTGTTTGTTGTTGTGTTTTATTGCGGTTTTTTGTATTTAATCATGTCTAAAAGGGGCAAAACCTTACAAATACGGTAGAAAAGCACTACAGCCCCCCTTCAATCTAAATCTCATTCTCTTTCCGCACAGACTCTATTTGTTTATTTACAAGCTACAATTTTCTGTGTCCGTTTGAAAACATGGTTTTTCTTGTTGAAAAAATTACGTTTTCGCTCTGGAATAAGAAATATTTTTCATTCTCGTTAAGTGGTGTCGTCCACCCAAGGGTCAAAGCAGCCCTCGGGACATTGACACCTTAAAGTACAGGGTAAGTAAAACCTACAGCCAAATTTTGGTGCTAACTCCCTGCTAGCCGAGGTCCGAGTCTCGGAGACGCCCTCTAGTCCAGCCGACCCCCTCAGGTTCGAGTGGTTTAGAGGCTCCAGACGTAAAGGAGACACCCCCCGTGGGGAGATGCCATCCGCCTGGAATACCTCTAGAGGGACTCGCTAATTTTTGGCTTGAGGTCCCCTAAGGATCTCGCTGTCCCCAAACCCGGTGACGCTGTATAGGTCATCTGCGACCAACAGCTTACTTAAAAAAGCTGTTTGATAGATTTGCTGGGGAAAACATTGACTGGACTATAAGAGAGGCAGGACTGGACTATAAGGGCATAGCGGATTATCCTCTCGAATTATCCTGTAGCGCGTTAGCAAAAAACTTGTTATGAATAAGTGGCCGGGCGAGTCGAGACTGTGTGTGCATCTATAGGTATAACAGTAATATGTGGGTAAATCTACTAAGGTTTCTTAAGTTTTTCCTCAATCGTCATTTCCTCTTCGCACATACACTTGAGAGCAATGAATCCGGGTCACATAAAGAATCCTAAAAATTTGCCAAACTAACAATGCTAGCTTAATGAAATAAATTGTGTTTAATAGACAATTAAATACTCCTCAAATGAAAGTAATATAATTTTATGAGGCACAACATTTAATTTCCAAAAAAATACATAAAGAAAAAATCCTGCTGATCTCGCCTTAAAACAAATATAGGAAACATTACATTTTTGAACAACAATACGATTTTCTTGAATTTTATTAATTCGTATTGCCTCCTCGTGCTTCCATTACTGCGTTTAAACGGTTTGGCATGCTGTGCACCAAGTTTCTAAAACGATTTTGGGGAATATCCTCCCAATCAGAGGGATGGGAGAAACCTCTCACAGAGGTGAGAGCAATTTTGAGCTCACGAAGTTGCTTATGAGCCGTTTTCTATGAACACCAGTTCTGTGCGACTCTCAGAAGAAATACCGGCCGACACAAGTACAGAACCACCACCGTAGGCTACTTTTTCTTCGATGCATGCTTGCTTGAATCTTTTATGTAGGTCTTCTATATACTCTGTATCTTCCATCGTGCTTGTAGAGCATAAATTTTGATTCGTCGGAGAATATAACTTTTGACCAATCATCAATAGTTCAATTTAAATGGTTCTGGGTATATCTTAGTCTTGCTCCAGTTCTGGGCCGTTTGCAGGTCTAAGTGGTTTCAAGATAGCTTCAGCAAGTCGTCGTCTTACTGTACATGCGCTTGGGTAACTTCCCCTAAGGCGTTGAAACTGATTTGTAATTTCAGTTCCTGCGAGAAAGCGACTTCGAAGCATGGTATACACCAAGTATTGGCCTTCTCGTACTGTGGTACACCTGGTTCTGCCTGTTCCTGGTCTGCGTATGTTAGAGCCAGTTTCCTCGTAACGTCGGAGAACTCTTTGTACTGTTGACAGCGACACAACGACAGTCCTGGCTGTATCGCGCTGACTCCGGCCGGTTTCCAGTATTGTGAGAATTCTGGTGCCTTCTTCAGGTGTAAGCGACATGATTACAGCTCGAATAATTAATATTGAACACATTAATATCGACATGGTTTATATGAATAATAAATGACAGATTAGAATCAAAACCAATAACAAAATGCAGTAATTTCGAAGTTACATCTTCGAAAGTCTCCCTTTTTCAAATTAGTTTTTAGAAGTTTTAATATCTCCATTTAAGGCGTATTTAATTGTCTATTAATTAGAATTTAGTTCATTAAGCATATTATCATTCTGAGTTTGCGAGATTTTTAGGATTCTTTAAGTGACCCGGATTCATTGCTCTCGAGTGTATTTACATTTTTCACACAAGATTAACATTTTAAATATACATACAATATTGTAATATTAAGTATTTATCGGTAATATTTTGTTTACTACACATTAATTTGCGTTAAACTGTAAAATTGTGAGATGAGAGCAATGACACACCCAGGTGTGCCGTGTGCTGGTGTTGTTCGCAAATATTATTATTGTTCTGAGAGCGCGATATATATCACTATGAAATTTTTTAAATTATAAATAGATAATTAATGTGTCTGAAAAGGAATGTGAAACGCCTAGACAAACCGTATAGAGTTTTAAGGCGAAAAGCTGTTAGTATACATTTTTTTGTTTATTAGATAAATTTATAAAAAAAATTGGCGCGACCGCCGGGGGAAGTAACCTCCACCTTACAGAAGATCACAGTAAAATAACACTACCTTTTGGTGGTGTGTTCCTGTCGGTGATTAAGGTTCCAGGGTTCCGCGTTGTAGGGGATTGGGGTAAAGCGGGAGCACACGATGCGTTGCGGCTAGGGATGCAACATCGTTCTGAAAAACATCGATATTTTAAAACATCGATGTTTGCATGAAAAACATCGATGTTCAAAAATATCGTTGATAAGAGCGATATATCGATGTTTTTGCCGATGTTTTTTTTTTGTAATAGGATGCTTCATTGAAACAAATAACAATACCGCTCTATTCGGTATAAGTATGCTCGATGCTTAAAGGTAAATAAAAATAAGAATTACATGATGGTAAATTAAATTATAACAAAATGATTCCCATCATTCAATAAGGCAAATAAACAAATTAATATGAACTGTCAGTTCACAAGCTGCTTTAATCAACAAGCTATTCGTTATGTCATTTTTTTAACCCTTAAATTATACGCTCAATTTTCGCGTACCCGCCAACAAAAACCTAAAGAAAAAACAAACCATCAAAACCTAACTACTTTATAAATTGATTCAACGAGAAAACAAAAAGGGTAGATACGGTACGCTCATACTTGCATCAAACAAAAACTGATCCCACGGCAGCGCGAACGGGACGGCGTGATCCGCGTCACCGCATTACCGACCCGAACGAAACAGCACGTTAAGTTTCAACGGCAGCGCGAACGAGACGGCGAGATCCGCGTCACTGCACTACCGACCAATCACGCGACCAGTACTCGACGTCACTACCGAATAAGATTCAAATCAAACAGCAATTTTTGACGTGACAACGTCTTAAATTAGGTTGCGGCTGGGAGTCACTTATGAAAAAGTGTAACGCTCGGTAACGTTACGATGAGTCTCTCGTGTTAAGTTTAAGGTTACATGTACAATGTTTTAGTAAACAAAATATATTTCTATAGTTAAAATTTGTGCAATTCTTATTTTCATTCAATTCCTTGTTCCTATTGTGCAATTTAATTATATTCATATCAATAAATATTCTACCGAGAAAAAGACGTTGTCACGTAAAATCTTCGCCCGTAAAACCGACTTTACAGGCAACCATTTTTTTATGAAAAAAAAATATTTTATAGTAGGTATTTACGAATGAAAAGTGATGCTGTGGGTGTTATTTTTAGTTCTTGAGCAATTTGAGTACTTTTAAAAACACACTTAGGCATTTTTTATAATATAAACACAAAATATTAGCAATATTTCTTTTTGGCGTTCACATGTACGTCGTTTGCGTGTCAAGTTGTGACTAAAGCGATTAGGGTCGTG